AGAGGATTAAGTTTAGATGATAAAACAAAGGATTATGTTCGCAGAAATACCGTAAGTCTCGTACATTCGATACATGAGGTCACACAACTCGGGTAATATTCACGGTGAAGATTTGCATATTTGAGCGGTCGAACGAAAAAAATTATTTCTCGAAACTAAAATATATTTTTACAAAAAAACTACACCACAATTATAGAACATATCGGGCTACAAAATATAAAAGTAGGAGGGAAAACAAATTTGGGTGACTTGCCGCTGTTTGTTTGATTCATGTTGACATTAGCTCTTAAGATCGAGCCGATTCATTTGCTGTTTTCAGTTTTTACGAGCTTTTTGTAAAGAAGAATTCGCTTTGTTTTACACGGAGAGCCAAAATGCAGTTTTTAACTCAAAGGTGGCAAGCTGCTACCAATAAATCGCCGGATTGTAAAGACTTCAATCATTACGACACAAAGACTGAAGACGTGATGGGTAGCCTGTTTGTTAAGTTGTAAAAATCGGTGAGAATCGCAGAATTTCGTTAGCGGAATTGATGTGGTCACATTAACTAAACTTGAACGACGTACGCTGCTACCCTCCTGTAACCGAGTTTCGTGGGACACATTTTGCACTGTCCCTCCGAAGTTGGTGAAATGTTTTAGCAGATCATGTTTTGATTTCTTACTATCTGTATTTCTCAGAAAACTGAGGTTTATTAGAATTTTTGTAACATGAAACATCTTTTGTAACAACGGTCTTATACCATCTATCGATTTATCGTTTCCTACACTCCTGAACCCTAAAAATAGAGTAGAATTACATCATTCTGTAATTGAAAAGACTTGGAAATCATCGGTTTACTGAAATGTAGAACTGCTCTGTCACTGTGCAAGAAGGTTTTAAAACTTCAAATATATTTTTATTTAAAACTATCAACTGGACTGATTGGTTACCGTTATTTCAATATTTGGCAGATAGTTAGCTACTAGCAGAATTAAGACGGAATTTAGCATCAAGTTCAGTCCTTCGATGTTGAATGTCGTGATAATTAGTCAGATTTTATTCCTGGTCCCCTAACAATTAAAAATGTGCCAAGGATAAGCCACAATGATGAGCTAAACTTGCTAGCTCCCAACTGTGGTTCAAAAGCTGATACTGCGTTTTAAGACTATGGTCCATTAAAAGGTATTCTTGAAAGAGATACAAAATTTTTCCACCTGATTAAAGCTTTTATTTGAGAAAATTAATGAAATGAATCAGCTAGATTTACAACTCATGGCTTAAAAAAAACGTCACCCCATTACAACTTTTCAAAGAATTTGGACGGGTTGCGGAAACATCAGTTACGATAATCAAGCAAGATTCAGAATATAACTTGCTTTTAACCCTCATTTTTGAAATCTCCTTTAATGAATTCTTAGAATGTCATGGAAGTGTAAGCAAATTATGTCATGGCTTCCCTTGATGCGAACGTTTCCCGTGAACAAGGGTTTATACGACTCTGTAACATAAAACATTTTTTGTGAGTGCAGCTTTTGCAATTTACCATTTCCGGTGTCATTCATTTACTTAACCCTTCAACTCCCAGGACCTCATTAGTAATTCTCTCTTCCGTCTGACATACAATTCTTAAGATGTAATGGGTTCATCTGAAAATGATGGAGAACTGTTTTAACCCTTTAACTCCTATGAGTGACCGAGATGAAATTTCTTCTTACAATGTCAATACAATATCAAGCAGGCAAGTAATGAGAATAAAGAAAAATATTATGTAGGGAATTAGCAGTTGATCCAATACCAAATTATCCGAACTAACATCAGCAGAATTTTATAGTAAGGAGAATTACTGATGAGATCTTGGGAGAGAAAAGGTTAAGTAACTTGGAAATAGCCTGAGGTCACAGTTTTGTATTGTTTTTAATTTTTTTAATATGAATGAAGTTGAATTTGCGGAACATTTCCACTCAGTGTTTATTTTGAGTGTGTTTTTATTCCTCAGTGTTCACTCGTCATTGTAATTTTGGCCTTGTATTACGTTGCTCAATTCAAACTGATGGCTTTTTTAACAGATCAGATCTAACTAGTAGAGCTGTAAAAACGGTTGAGAATCACACCATCTCGTTGGGAAAAGGAATTTACTCAATCAGTGTGAATTTGAAAAATTTTTTTTCATACTTAGGGCCTGTTTACATGGAGATGGGGGACCCCAGGTAGGTGAAGTGAGCCGCCTCAGTGGGGTAACCCGCCTGTCCATCTAATTTCTTATCTTATTTTGATCACGTCTTCATGATAACTGGGGTGACCCGCCTAGGTTGGTTGCCCGGTCTGCCAGGTAGGGTAACACTGTCAGCCGGGGTGACAATTTGCTATGTAAACGTGTCAAGGTGGGGTAACCCACCTAGCCGGGGTCGCGTTCATGGAAAAAAGCTCAAAAGCGAAACATGTATGTTTTAAAACTTTGTACATTTCCTAGGCGTCTCATCGACCAAATTTGGTTTCCCAAACAATTCCGTATAACGTATTAAGTCAACGGTTTCTCGCGAAACCAAACACCGCGTAACACAACGCGTGACGCTTTCATAAATAAATACACAAGTGTCCGAGAATTAATCTTTCGTCTTTTTCGAGATGTGAGCTTAGGACGCCTTTGCTCAAACTCCTTAATTGCAAGCGCAACAATAAACCTCACCCCTGCACCCCGGGGTAGTAAGATTGCATGTAAAAGCGTTTTATTTTTCGACCACGGCCAGGCGGGTTACCTCACCTACCTGGGGTCTCCCATCTCCATGTAAACAGGCCCTTAATATAACTCATTATAATAATTATTACGTAAAACGTGAAACTTCAAACATCCTGTAGACCACAAACGTCTTTTTCTTTTATCTATTTATTGCTTTTATTCAAACAACCTTAATTGCATTAAAAATGTTTGCGTGCGCCGTACAATGTTACGTAACGTAGCAAGTATTTAACGTGTTTTCATGGTAGTTGTTAGTTTTGCTTAGTAAGTTCACTTGCGCTTATATCTCATATCATATTTCTTCGTATCGCACTATGTGCAGTCTTTTCGCCGTTCGGCAGCAAGTCAGCATTATTATTTCAGCATCGCAACAAATTGGTGAGTCTTGGTATCTTTGTTTTGTCATTTTCGTTGTAATTTCCTTGGTGTATTTAGTTTTAGCGTATTTAGTTTAATTTTTAATAGGTTTTCGTTCGTCATTTTTTTTACAAGTTTAACCGGCTCTACCAACTAGTACTTGAGTTGTTGCAACATAATACATCATTAAGGCCGCGTTAAATTAAATACTGTCTATTTATTGCTGAAGGCGCCCATGGTAGTCACACATGCTTTGCTTCAAATGAAACTAAACAAGCACGTTTTAAGCATTTTTACAAAGGTGTTTCCTTTAAGCTGAATTATTAAAGAATTAAGGGTATCAGCTTTACAAGATACAAGTTTTACAACTGTTGAATGGATAAAGCAGGTTGGCCGCCTACTTCTCGGAGGAGATTCAGCTCATGTTTCAATCCTCGCCAGACAATTGGAAGGGCTCTCGGTTCGGTGATGTCTTTAATGATGATTTCATCAACAAACTTTTCCGTTGAGCTCTCATCATCACGCCTGTTTTCTTGAAAGAAATCTTTCTCGTACACGTTGCCTTCTGGATTTTGCACTTTTATCCTTGCCAACTCAGGATACAGCACACTGCATGAAAGCATGGCTAATGCGAGGTGTTCAGGACTAACGTTACTTAGGAAATCCATGTACGCTTTGAGTGCTGTACCCACCTGGCCTTTCTCTGATAGATCTTTTTTCTGGATGAATTGCTTGTGAAGATCGAAAAATTTTGCGGACTGTTTCCAATAAAAATAAGCATAATCTTTTTTTTTTTGGATTTCCATTTTTATTGCAGCGAGACGATACACATCGGCTACATGTTCGAAATACGCTGCATCTTGTTCAAGAAAGTTCCTATAGTTGCTCAAGGGAAGTTTTCCTTGAGCCATTCCCGTGATAAACGTGGTGGATGACGCTTCTTTGATGATCTTTTGGCTGAAAGGATTTTGAAACAGCTTTTTGCTGAATGAAGTGTAAAGTATCAGGGATTTTTCCAACGTCTTTTCCCCCACATCTTGAAACTTTTTACGGGAAAGAACTCTGCTAGGTGTCTTGAAATGCCATTTACCCTCTATAAAGAAAAATAACGCGATTGTTGACTAAAAATATTTTAAAAGAAGCCAATTTTATCGGATTCGTTTAGTGAGAGCCATTTGACATTTAATTAACGATCTTACAGTCAAAGTAGGCAGAGCAGGGGGATGAGTTAGCTAGATAGCAGTGGCCTATGATTCTAAATGAATGAATTACTGAAACGTGCAGAAGCCATTTCTGTGTTTTGTTTGGGCTTAATGTATATTTTGAATGTGTACTCATCGTACCTTGCAATGGGTCTTTCCATTTCCTTTGAAGTTCAGTTCGGTTGCTTGATACAGCAAGCGCCTCTTTTTTTTATTAACGAGGGCCATTCAGCAGCGGTTTCTTTTGTTTAGGAAACAAAAATGAATTATCATTTATGAGTATGTTCGAAGCAGAGCCAGGCAATATGTTTGCTCAACTCGGCGATTTGCTTCAGTACTCGCTCCAAAGATATACGATAAGGGAGATTTTGCGCCTTTTCTCGGTAAAACCATCATATCCGAATTCATGTTGTCATAGAAAATCTTATTGTCTATGAAATGAAAAAAACAAATAAATAAATAAAACGAAACCTAAGTAAGGGAAAAGAGACTCTCTGGCTCTATATTTACTACTTTCGCCACATTTTGGACGCAGTTTGTGACTGAACGTGTGGGTACTAATTCCTTGAAATTTGAAATCGTTTGATACATTTATAGACTTTCATTCCTTAGCTAACTAAGTGTCTTTAAATGTTCTTACCAACTGCAGGAACGTTTCTTGCAGTGATAATAGTTGCCACTAACACTGTTACAGCAAGAAGGATCCAAAATTTCACAACTGCCATTATGCCAGCCTTGAATGTAGGGTAGGAAGATCGTCGACGTGCCAAAATTTCACGTGTACTAAATAGGTAAGTAAAACATAGCGATGTAGGATTTTAGTTTTCAATTTTAATTGAAACTCTAGTTGAAAAGTATTCACCGGAATAGAGGTCACTAAGGAAATATATGTCGTCCGCTTTTCATCGATGCTGTATCGAATGATAATTACTCTAAGCCAGAGCTCGAAACTTACCCGTGAGCTTAGTCCCTCCCCTGGTCTAATCCTTTATTTGAATGGATTTGACCCCGTCTTCTTTTTCTCTGCCGGAATTATAGACAACATCCCCGTGAAAGTGTAACGAGAAAAGCCTTTATCTTCGTTTCCCCTTTTTTCTACAGCTTAAAACAAATTGTTATTTCTAATTAAACCATCGCAAAGAAGTTTAATTTTATCGAGACATTTTCCTTGAGAAACTCCAGTTAAAAGGAGTAGAAAGAAATTGCCTAATTATATAAAGCTCAGTTCATCGATAGTTTCGCGATAACTCTGGTTAAATTCCCATATCTAATTGTCACTTACCAAGTACGAATGTGTCAAAGATACAGCCACAGTATGATGAGCTTAACTCGGTAGCTTCTAATTGTGATTCAAAAGGTGATAATATAATGATTAGAAGTCTATGGTCCTTTTAATGGGTTTTTCACTTCACAACTTTGAAATTGACACCACTTTAGAGCGGATATTAAGTTAATCCACCTGCTTAAAAGCTTTTAAATGAGAAAATTACTGAATGGAGTCAGCTAGAATTACAACTTAAGACTTTAAAGAATGTTAATTCATGACAAAGTCCCAAGGAATTCCGAGGGGTTGCTGAAACACCTGTCACCTCAAACAATGACATATCCCTTGATGAATTCTTAAAACGTCGTGG